TACTTTTTAATTTCTCTAAGTTTTCAATTATATTTAGAATAAAATAGAATGTAATTTATCATTCATCATTTCTTTTTATCTTAATTTTTGATTGTTTAAAAATTTATTTCGAATAATTCAGGCATAAAGTCAATAAAAAATCATTTCTGATAATTATTATTGATGATTCTGGTGAAAAAATGGAGCATATTTTTAATAAAGATATGAAGCTTGAGATAGAAGAAATATATAACAGCTGTTGATAGAATAATATTTTTCAATATCATGAATTTAAATGAACAAGGTGGAATCAATTTTTAAATTTCTATCTTTTTATTTCAAGCTTTGAAATATAAGTTTAAAAAAATTATTTTTGCCAAGAAAGAAACAATTTAATCGCCAATTATTTTGTAAGATAAAAAAAAACAATTAATTAATTTTCTTGATGAGTATAAACTTGAAAAAATAATTGCTTATTTTATAAAATTCATTATCCATTGTCACTATGATTTTTATTTCCTTCACTATTTCATGCGAAATAACTAAAAAAAATTTTATCAGATCGATAGATCCATATATAAAATTTTTTCAAGTAAGAAACATAGGCCGCATGTGAATTATAAAGTAAAGAGTAAATATAAAAATAGATAACTATAGGTAAAAAGTGATATGAATTTAACTATAAAAAATGTGATAAAGAAATGTCTATCGATCTGATGATCTAGACGTTTCCTCTCCTGGAATATACACTGTCGAGAATAGCCTGAGCTACGTTAAATAGGGCATAGAATAACGTTAATAGCTAGCGAGTACGTTAAAGAAGAGTATGAAATGTATAGTGAATTATGTATAATAAATTACGTAGTAGTTACGTGAAGTGTAAAGAGAAGGGAGTGTCCACGTAACAGAAGCGAGCGAGCAGGCAAATAGTAATTCATGTACATAGTTGCGATTTACTATTTTATTGTTATTATTGTCAGATACGAAACGATTAGATATTATTTGGGATTGACTTATCAATAGTTCAATTATTTTATTTAGCTTTAGCGATAAAAAAAATTCACGATTAGTTAATTTATTTTATACAACATATTCAAGGAGGAAACAGAAGTTAGAGGTTGAAAATGGGTTTGGTATGAGGAATTCTTATAAACAAGGCGCGAAGTAGATGGTGTTAATAGCAATGATGGACAAAAAATAAACGACTAGAAAGTTAAAAATAAATAAGTTCATTTACAAAATATAAAATATGATTTGTATATTTTTTTCTGTTCAATTATTGAACTTTTGCTTTCAGTTATAGAAACGATAATGATAATAATAATATCCAGGTTACACCGATCAATGGATCTCCAAGGTTTAAGTTAGAGTTGAAATTAAGTACTCTTTTCCTTGTATTTGAACATGTACTGCCAGGGTTCAGATAATATTTATTTTTAGGTGTAAATTTGAAGCCTGAAGTGTAACCAACGATGTCCTAAATAAATTTAGAAATTCCTGAGATTTCTTTTGGGAATAGGTATTGGATAAGGTTAATGATGAAATTAAATAATAATTGATTAAGTTAATCGCACAACTGGTTGTAGGAAAGATACAGTATTCTTTTATTTATAATAATCGCGGTAAATAATGTTATTTATGTTTGTTATTGTAAATTATTATTTATCATTTAAGTGAATTTTTAGTTGAAATAAGTTTGTTAATAATCGCGATAAGTACTAAACTACGTACATGAATATCGAATTATCTAATTAATATTCAAATAATTGTAAGTGTAAGTTTTTTTTAGTTACTAAGCTAGACCCAGCCCAGCATTATTTTCTTTTTTTCATTTAAACACATTTGACTCATTTATATTTAATATTGTATATTTTTTTTGTATAAGTTTTTTTTTTGTTTTCTTATGTCACACTTGTTTTCTTGGTTCTCATAACATCACAACGGGTTTCTTATATTTTATTACTTAAATATCTACTAATCTAATAACAATCTAACGATCTTGTTTTTATTGTTAATTATTACAACTAAATTTTTGTGTCATTATTTGTTGTGTTTATTTTACAGTTCACCGCCACAATAAATGATTTATGATTTTTGTTGTAGATACTTGGTTTGAATTTTAAAAATTGCAATTAAGTTCTCCTTAGTATCGTAACAACTAACGAGTTGCTTTGCATTAATTTTAAAATATATTTTCAAGTCCTCGATATTGAAGTAGACAATCAATAGCTTTTGACTGAATTTTATTGAACTTGTAGCTTTGTTTGCAATTTTTATTAAATCATTTTTAATATTTATTAAAAAAATTCAATTTAAACTAGAACGAATTTTTATGAAAATTTATTTAGCAAATTGATTGTTTTATTTACGAAAATAAATCATCATATGCTCTGGTTTTCTTTGTACATTTTTTGAATTAATATTACCGATACACAGAAAATTTTGTTTTAATTGTAAGAGCAATATTTGAACATATAAACTTTTAATTAAAACTGAATCGTTATCAATTTCAATAGAAAAGTTTATAATCAATAACTAATTGTATTGTAAAATTTTCACTAAAGAAGTTTTAGATATCAGAAATTCTATGACTTCAACATTATTGATCGTCAAAGTATGTTCTAGTGGATTAAATATCAAGATTTATAAATAATCTATACTTGATGTCAAAAATTAATCAGGTCATCAGGTTAACATACATGTCAGACCTGTTAAAGTTGAATTTTCATCACTCTGTGGTAATATAAACCTGAGAAGCGTTGAAGAACAAGTAATTAAATTTGCAAAAGCTTCGTTAGTCGCACGAATAATGTGGTAAATTCATGGAGAAAATTTTTATCGTTATGTTTACATGAGACGTTTCCTCTTAAAAGTGTAACGATTCTTAAAAGATTTGTGTTAGTTTACATCAATAATAAAAAGATGCATATATTTATATTTGTGTCAGAGTAATAACTTAAATTTGCAAAAGATTATTGTGAGAAGTGTTTTAAATTTAATGGTGCGATTTTGTTGGATTAAATTGATACAAATGTATGAAAAGTTTGCTTGTTATTGCATTAAAAGTGGAAATATTATAGAAAATAGAAATGAACGATTTTTAAAAACAAAAAGAGCTTGTGCACTCAAATAATTTGTTTAACTCTTGCAAATAATCAGATAAAAGTGATTGAAGTCCATTGAAGCAATTATTTTGATTATGATTACATCAGTTTAATTAATTGAATCATTGAATTTAATCACCAAATTAAATTCTAATAATGTTAAATTTGCTATCAAATTAAAAACAAAATAACTAACTTATTATTATAATGTATATTTAAAAAAAAAATAAGACAGCAAAATTATGAAAACGAAATAATGATCAAAACTTATATTAACTATATACATAAATGATTTTCACGATTACAAGGTGTCGACAAAAAAATATTAATTATTTTATACAGTTAATAAATATAAATAAGCTTCATACACTTGACACTTTTTGATTATAAAATCCTTAACTTCTCAAAATCTATCCATTAATAAAATTAAAATTGTTGTATAGGATTAAAATGAGTGTTAATAATCTTAATGTAGATGACTCATAATAAAAGGCGATAAATATTAACATTTTATAAATCACAATTATCGTCTTATTATGCAATGCACGAACACGTGTAGCCATATGTGCATTTACATAATGATTCACACGTATTCACATTTATTAATATATATATATCTATATCTGTACTCTTCGTTTATTTATTGATACTCTCGGACATTAACGTAACAGTGGCAGTAGTAGATATTTGGATTGATAACAGTTAGATAAAACAATCGATTTTGCACGCTATACAATCATAACCATAAGTGATAAACACGCCAAATTTCAACAGTTGTCTATCAATAAACAACTGTCATAATTTTTGGTGATTTTTCTCTATATATTCTCGACATCGAGATGTCATTTCTTCCTCCCTCCCTCAAGAAGAAATACCTCGTTCTTGATTTTTAATATTTCAAGAGGTCAAATGAACTTTCCAAAAAAAAAAACTACTTTCTCACTTGCTTACTTTCTCTCTCTCTCTCTCTTTCACTCACTTTTATATTATATTTTAATATAAATAAGCCACCGAGTGTGCCGCTATAAACTCAAGAGTTTGATTGATTTATTTTTGATACAATAAGCAATTAATAAGTACATTTTTTATTACAATTAATTAATCAAACGATAATTCATTGGATCAATGACCACTGAAGTTTATTTCAATCAAGAACGAGATGATAAGTCTGCATTGCAGATACTTGAAAAAGTATATATTTATTTAACGTTTTAATTATTATTGTTAAAAAATAACTTGTAGCACACATATCATGTTCCTAAATTATTTCCAACTTTCATTGAATATTCGTTAATTACTTGAAGTTTGTCATATATTTATATTTATTTATATATGTATATATATATTAGCCATTACAAATAAATTGTTTAGGCTTGAAACAAGATAGGAACACGAATGTATTGGTTTTTTTTTTTTAAATCTAAATCGAGACGTGTTGATGTCAGTGTAAACTGTGTATAAGCAATACGCTCGACTAATTTTTAATAATAATACAATAAACATTGAATAGTTAAAAAATATTAAGAGAATTAATTAATATTAATAATTGTTAAACTTATTCATGTAATTACAACAAAAATATAATAATAAATCCGCTAAATATATTTAAAAAGAGTGAATATGAATTGTGATCATTTTTGTTTAACCTTGACATTATTGATGCATGCACTTAATTTATAGCACAATGCAATTTGATAATATATTTTTTAAGATAGTAATGTACTGTAGTAATAAAATTTATAAAAACTAAGACACTGGTGAAAGTGTAATAATTCATTGATTATAACTAAAGTAAAGGAATTATTAATTAATAATAATAATAAAGAAAATTATCAAATAATAATAATAGTAAGGTATAATAAATTGATATTATTTGTTTACATTTAAAAACTAATATTTGTTGTTACTTATTTAGTATTTTTTTTTTGAGCCCTTACAATCGCGTAGCGCGTAACGAGCAGTTATCTTGGAGGTTTCAAACCCCTATGAAAAATTTAAACAAAATTACAAAACATAAACCATACATATAAATAATAAATATTTGTGAGTATTTTGTTAAATAGGCATTTTGTCACTTTGCTGCGGATCATAAGGTTGTGAAGAAAATATATGATAAGTACATTTTGTTATAACGCACGATTAAGACAAAGATAACAGTGACTATTAGTCTTTTGGAGACTTTATAGACGTATATACAGTGTGATGAGGTGATTTCATATCCTCTGTGTAATTTGATCAGTAATCCAGTCAATAGAAACTGTAAAAATAATTTTTAATGCTTGGAAATCTGTACAACAATATTTGTCTTTTGATTATATTTATGAAAGATAATTATTTTTATACTTTTTGTTGATAAATTAATTATTTTAAGCTGCTAGAATAAGGAGAAGATAAACAAATTGATGGATCGTTTAACGGAATTTTCTGCGAAGAAATAATTATGCAGAAATAAAAACATATGATGTGTAATTTTCAGAAAAATGTAAGTTGATGAGAGTAAGCTCCAAATGAAGTATCTAGGATTAATGGTTTATGAGATATTCGTTTTTTAAGTTGAATGTGCAAAGTACTGCACGCAAAGCACGTAAACAACTATCTCAGAGTAAAAAAAAAAAATATCTCATAAACTATTAATCGTACGATCATGTTCTGAAGCTTATTTTTCTTGTCCATTAATTTTCTGAATATTACATGTGGTATAAATTAATCTCCTGCAAATAATCTTCCAATTTCATCAACAATAAAAAGAGTATATTCTTCTAAAATTCTATACAATGAAACATTGTTTAATACTTTTCAATAAAATCCACAATTAAAAATTGATTAAAAATTATTATCTTTTGATTTGATGATAAATTGATGAACTATACATTTTCCAAGTCATTAAAAAATTATTAAAATAAATGTAAAAGAAAAAAAATCTCAAAAAGCCCCTCATGTGATATTATTAATTGGACTAAATGTCCAAGCATAGGCACGAATTAACATGAATGTATTTAGATCAATGACGAATTATCTAGGTGCATGCTTCATAATAGCAGTATAGTGTGACTCAGTGTCGTGATAAGAGTGTAACTGATATAAACGCATTGGTGGTTTTATTTGCCCCTTCAGACGCATTTTTAAGGTTTCGAAATAATGTACAATGAACATTGATTAAAGTTGTAATGATGCAGTGATAAATTTTTTTTTCATCAAGTACCCATTTTTTTGTTGTATTAGTTTAGTTAGCGTTAAAATGAAATTGGACGCACCTAAATTTGTCATTCAAGTGGTACGTTGTTAAACATTTGTATGTCAATTTGACAGAGTAAAAGGGTTAGACAAGCGGGCAGGCTTTTAGACATGCAGACAAAGATCAACAGAACAAGACAATGTACATATGTACTATAGACCAGATAGATAAAGCAGACATTTAACATTGAAATGAGAGAAAGAAATAAAATGATTGATAAATATAACAATCGTCATTGAAACAAGTCATTAATTGTCGTTGAATGTTAACGAATTAAGTACTTTCAAAGAGCAAATGATTGAAAAGAAATTGGCAACGTGCAGTTCGTTCACCATGAGAATATCAGTCTGAGGAAATGAGGATTTGCTAAAAAATGATAAGAAGTCGAGGAATGATAAGCACTTCGATGAAGAATTGATATAAGTTTTCTCATGAAGAAAGTATTACATAAGTACAGGAGAGACGCGTTGAGAGGCTTGACGAAGAGGAAACTTGGCCTAACCACAGTATAAGATGACATATAAATGATTATTTATTTGTACGAAAATGCAACGAATACCCAAAGAGTATAGAGTCCGAGACCTGGATGATATGTATGTAGCAAGCAGGTATAGAAGAGGTAATGCCGGACACGAGTAGTACGATGAAGAGAAGACATGCCAGGAGAACGTGGCCACATTAGATACAAGTTTCGTGCACCACTTTTGGTAGCTCTAGTGGTATAATTGGATCACTAGAACCAGAGGATGGGGAGTTAGGGGCTCCACTATCAACGCTTCTGCTCGTTGCGTGATTTGGGCTCAAAGCCTGATGTTCTAGGATGTTATTGGGTGAGGTACGATTGTTGTGACGGTGGTGACTGTTGAACGAGGATCCAGAGCTGGGTACATTCAGCAGAAGTGGTGATGCTGGACTGTTGATCGATGGGAGTCGTGAACTCTTGGTACTCGAGTCGTGATCCTGGTCGTTATGATGCTGCTGATGTTTGGCCTTGGTGTTGAGAAAAAAATTAGACGTGTCGTCATCAATGTATGTGAAGTCTGATAGCGGCCGCGGCCCAGTGTGGCTGCGTGAGCTGCGCATACTGTGTAAGCTGTGTAAACTATGAACAGACCGACGTTCCTCCAAATCTTCCAAAGTCGACTTGAATGCTCTGATTACTCGAAGCTGCAAAAATAGGGAAGGGCGTTCTATTTAGGAGACGAGGAGGCTGAGGCCAACGATAACACACAAGCTGCTCATTTCTTTATCACCCTATCATCTATCTCTTGCTTTTTATTATCAAGTTCTAGTCTTGCTTGGGGATATGACCTCTCCCTTTTCATTGCATCTACGTGACTAAGTAGCAAGATTGTGGAATTTGTGAGTATTACATCTCAAGGTTATTTCTGATGAAACTAAATTATGGTGGAATACTAGGTGATCATGGATATTTATACTTCGCGATTATTGGTTTAGGTTGATACGCAAGGCAAAATCATTTGCAAGCTACGACAACAATTGTCACTGTGGCACACACGCACGATAAAAGATCATAAGATAAAATCAATCATGAATATTTATATGTATTGATATCAATGGATGTTCCCTTGGTTGATAAAATTTACAGAAATAAGTCTGTAGTTTTTCATTGGAATTATTCTTTTTTTTTCTCTCTCTAAAAATAATAAAGAAATTAAAGCATCAATTTTTTTTTTAAATAAATAAAACTAAACATTGAAAAGAATAAAAAATAAATTTAAAAAAAAGTAGCTTTATCTACTTTATCAGTAGTTTGCCGTTAATCCAACAAATATTGATTTTGAAATATTGGGATGATCGAATTGATTTAACTTAATCAATTGATATGATGAGCAATTAAAAATACTGTCAATAAAAATTTCGCGTTCAATTATGTCATATCTCAAAGGTGTGTGACACACCCCTTAATAGTTAACTCGACGTTAATTCTTAATCCTTCCTCTCTTGTCACAAAACTGACTGAATCCCTCTGACTACGCAATTTTTGCCAGGAATGGTCCGCAACAGTCCTTAGAAAAACCGATCGATGTCTTCGTCGCATCGACAGTCTGCATTGCGGCCCGGAATAGTTTAAAGAGTGTATGAGATCGATAGAGTGACAGAGTCAGAGAGAGACAGAGAGGAAGACGGTGTTAATAAATACCGTCTTAACAGCAAGAGTGATTTAATTAAATAAATATGAACAATAAATATAACAATAATATTAATAAATAAATAATTGAAAAAAAAGAAAAAAATAAATACAAAAAATTGCAATAAAATCCTTTGGCAACATCGAGAGGATAAAACATTCAGCCATAGCAAGACTTGGAGCTGATTGTATTGACACTAAGTAATCTAGATGTTGCTTGGATAGACAGTAAAGAGCAGTGAAAGACATAGAATTAAGTATAGAAATAGAAACAGTTAAAAAGATATAGGGTATAGAAGTATAACATTTCCATGTCTCGTGCTTAACAAACAAAAAACCATCAATATCTACGCGAAAGCCTTAGCCAAATAGGAAACTTAGGGTGTGTATTATAGATTATTTATTGCTTTTAAGCAGTTTAAATCAGCGCACAGTGAATATACCTACGGTATAGTCAGACTCGCGCACCAGAAGTACCGTTTTCATTACAATTCAATATCTAGTTATTTTTTATTCCATTTCCTCTATCGTTACCAATCCTTATTTTCCTTTCATTATCTCAATTATTGTATTTTAAATTTACACACTTTACGACTAATTTATTATTCTTTTAACGTAAGCACAAGGGATACAGACATGGTTTCAATATATCTGCCTATATTACCTACCCTCAGAATAAACTCATTGGATTGAAGTTTATTTTTGATGACTATGATTAATTATATCACTGGGATATAAATATTTTAGAAGACATTTTTTATTTTAAGAAGAGTCAATAATATTATTTTTAGCAAAAACTTTCATTTAATCGCATCACGTGTTAGTAAATCAAAGAATTCTATAAACTTAGGTATTAAAAAGTCTGACAAAGAGCAAACAAAACAAAATAAACAACCAGACAAATGGTAAACACACACATCTCTGCGTGCGTTTTTTATCATTTTAATCAAATAAGGGAAAAAGAAAGCTTTTTATTGAATTTATATCTCAAAATTAATAATGTGAAATTGTAAGAAGAAAATAAATATAGGAATAAGAAAGTGTAATTTGTCGTATTGATGTTTATTGTCTTTGTAGGTGGATCAATTTATTATAGTTAAGTATTATTTATATATATTTATATTTTGAGCATTGATTAATGTGTATTTTATCAGAGTGGTAATATTTTTACCCTCTTGAATCAATTGTATAATAAAAATCAATGTTGCTTAATTATTGTCAAATACTTGATTAATTTTAAATAAATATTTGTTGCTTTTAGAATAATTTAATCATTAAAAAAAAATTTAAAACTAATAATAATGTCAAAAAAACATTAATTTAAAAATTGATTTATTGAAAAAGTTGAAAATTTTATAAAGTTAAATTAATTTTAATAGTAAAATATTTATGTCTTTTTATTTTTAATTTAATAAATTTATTTTCAAACAATAAATTTTAAAAAAAGATTTATTTCTACAATAAATAAATATTTGTAAATAAAATAAAAAAATTTTCGATCAAATTAAAATTTTTCAATAGGTAAATCACCACCTGAATGTTTCAAGTTATTTATCAATTTTTGTTGAGTAAATTCAGAGAGTTTTCTGCATGTGCAGCAGTTTAGATTATATGGATTATATATGTGATATTATTGATGATGTTGATATATTATATTAATAACGGAATAGAATATAAAACGCAGCACAATCATCAGACAGCTAGTCTACTGAAAGCGCGGGTGTGGGCGGTAGATCAAACACGCCTATTTGGAACTATTCCTAACGGTGTTAAAATAATAATCCACCGATTATCCCACTCCCGCTACACAAAAATAACACACATCGGTGCAACGAACCATTATCACCATTTTCATTGTCATTATCATTTTTATGGTAATCAAAATCAAGTTATCATTTCTTATACACTGTCATTATTATTATTATGAAACACGGTTACCATCGAGCAATGCCAATCGAGTTCGAACGACATATGTACAAAGTTCAACCTTTTTTATTTCCATCCAATATAAAAAATTATCCATTTCCCATTTTACTTTTTTTTTAGAAATAAATTTATTTAATATATTTTTCCATCAATAAAGAAATGATTAAATTCTTTAAAGCTTTTATTTATATTGTTGGAATGGAATATATTTAATTAGCTGTACGAAATACATATGTCGACGAATTTGCAACACGCGCAATTCACGTTCATAAAAATGATTAGAATATGCGTTCTACGTGGACTACGTACTTGTTTGTACTCCGACAGGAATTGTGTGGGGGCGGCTGGCAAGACTGCCGCCCTGTTATACCTCGGTCTCCCGAATGGGTTCCGCTGGCTAACAAATCATAATAAATTATACCATCAGTCTTCTTTTTACCCTGTTTTGTTATTCAAATTCATTCCCGTTTCTTTGCCTAAATCCATTTCTGGGATTGACACGTCACATGATAAAAATTTTTTTTTTCTCAAATATCTTTTGACCAAATTACAAGCAATAAATAAATTTATTCTTCAACTATCTCCATGCTTTTATCAACTCTTCTGATATACTCTCGATGCTAAATTAACACTTATCGTTGCTGTCCAGTGAATTAATAATGAAAGAAGAAAATAAAGTAATGAAAAATTGTTGGAAGAAATTTATTCTTTTGAACAGAAAAATAAAAAAAAAAGAAAAATTAAGCGAGCTTATTTTAGAGAGATACATCTGAAGATTTATTTATTTTTTAATTTAAATATTAAAAAAAAGAGCAACAGAGATAGTAGACTAAAGAGAGAATTTTTTAAACTCATGAAACATTTTAAATCAATTGAAACCTTTAATTATTTCACGACTGACGTATCCAAAGATGACGGGTAAATTACCGTCAATGAAACGGCCTAAAATTACGCAATTAGACATTTTATAAATAAATAATACACAATGTTACGATTTCACACACACTTACGCACATACGCGCTTATATATGTATGCACTAGTTTCATTTAATGCAATTAATTGATTAATTTAGCGAACTCAATTGTATATAAATCTATAAATCAATTTATTAACTGATTGATCAATTAATTATACAATTAATCAATTAATAATTTGTAATAATACATGTTGTAGTGCATACGTATATAAATATTAATATTAAAATATCAAATAATATTTTGAACATATTATTATCGTCACAGCAACATAAATTTTGCATTAATTATATTAACAATCTATTATATGAAGAGTAATAATAATAAATATGCTCAAAGCATTGAATGATAATAAACTCAAAAGATTTGACATTTGAAGCGAACACACATTTTAGTAACTAATTAATCAATTATTGAATACCATCGAAAACAGGAATACATGAAGGCGTTTTCTTTGCTGGCTCGTGATTACCTGATTGAATTTAATTGAGGCGTACATGCGTATTCGCTGAATTGACATTGAGTTTATAATAATTATTTCTGAGTCGAATCAATGAATCAAATAATTGTCAAATAAAAAAATGAATGAATAAAATAATATTTATTCTTATAATAAATGTTCACGGCGAAGCACAATTTGGCAGCCAAGTGATTTCCTTCTGGCAAAAGAATGACAATTAAAATAAAAAATCAAATGAATATTTTATCTTGTTCCCCGTCGGGTTTTTTTTGTTGTTGTCTTTGCTTGAAGTATTGAACAAATGATTGAGAAAATAATAACATTGTGGATAGTAAATTTTAATTAATCACTTGAATCGGAATCAATTTATATCCCGAAGAGAAACTTGAACGTTCTAACTATTTGGATTGAGAGCAATCATATAATGTATTCCAATTTTTTATCTTAATAATTAACTTTAAAACGCCTTTTTCTTAATTAAAAATCATTTCAAGCTTACAATCCATTAGTTAATGCGTTAGATATATTTTTATTATATTAATAATGAATAAAATCAAACTCAAATGACACAAAGTTCATGACATGAGTCAGTCTTAAAGAAAAATAAAATGAATAAATGATTAAAAAAAAAAATGTGGCAAAATTAGATAAATAAAAAGAGGCAAAAATATCAATGATTAGACAAAACAATAAACCAGATTATTGATAAGACGGTCAAACAATGCGGACAGTGGTTTTGAGGAACTAACCATATAGTAATCCTGAGAGGGGGATCTGCCTGTCACAGATACATTCTGCACCAGAGTTCTATTGCTCGTCTGAAAGTAGGTTACACATTCAGTTTTATATTATAACTTTAAGTTTATTCATTTAATAGTGTATCCTTTAAGCGAGAACGATTATTGTTTCTCATACGCTTATTACTTATATATATATATATGTATTATATACTTAACAATATAGTAGCAAAGCTCGTTAATGTTATTAACGACATTAAATCGATTGGAAAAGAGAGAAATATTCATATATACATTGGTTGAGTAATAGAGTAAGTTGTACAAGAATAAATAAATGAAATTGTAGTAGTGATGAAAATAGAGAGAATACCAATGATATTTTAGTCATAATGTCCGTATGATGGAATGGCTTTGACAGTCTGGTTGATAAATATTGAGACAATAGCAGAATACAAGTACCACCCATCCCTGATGATCGTGTTTAAAAGCCTTTCATCCAATATAATACATAAAGTCAAGTGACTGTAATATCTTGGAGCAAGTTAGACTTGAGTTGAACCTACTCCAAGAATAATACATGTTTGTTGTTATACGCTTTCAAGATTTGCTTTTACGTCAATTATTATCCTGACATTTATTCTTATATTAGTCCTACATGTCATGACTACCAAGTCATTCGCAATAAATATCTTTTATCATTCATAGCATCTAGATGATTGATACATTGATCGCTGGTATAATATTGCTTATAAATTGTTGCTTTTCTTTGGATTATGTGTATGCTAAAGTAAATAATTGATTGGTTTTTTTTCTTTATAAAGTTGTTTGTTTGCTTAAGTTTTTTTTAATTACAGTAGAAGCTTTCTTACATCTGGCTTTTCTCATGAAACTGCTGCTTGAGATCTTCAAACTAAGATCTGATGCTGGCATTGAATGAGGATTAAGGATTTGTTGAAATGAAATTTATTTATTGATGAATACTTGATGTTTCTGTTGAAATTTTATTTTTTGAAATAATTTCATTTTACTTGAAAATTAGTTTAGTAATTGAATAGATGATTCAATGAATCTGAAGGAAAAACTTGGATGATCATCAACTTTATCATATTTCATTAAATTATTTAATTATTTTAAACAACATATTATATAAAAAAAATATCAATTTTAAAACAAGTTAATGCATTTCATGAAAATGATACTTTTTTCCATTGCTTATATATTAATTTTTTTATTACAATTAAATTAAATTTTTAATATAAATTTATTTTAATAAACGATATGATGAATTTTATTTAATATAATTATTTATGATTTTATTATAAACTTTTTAATATAAGGATGTGATTATTTTTAATCAATTAAATTTATGAAAATTGATGACTCAAAATTTTTCCCAGTCTAGACAGAATATTTATATGTTATATGCAACTTCTGGTGCATAAATTCAGAAAAGCCAACTGTTAAAAATCCTTCCACTAAATAAATGCATTAAGAATATAATACTTTGTACTTGTGCGATATTTCAATGTCAACGAAAATGTTCATTGTTCGCCAAAAAGTATCTTTTTTGTTCTTTTCATAATAATAAAGCTATAAATAGCTTTCGCCCACTTGCAATAGTCTAGAAAGTAGAAATCGTAAAGTCGGTTTCATTATTGGGAAACCGAGAGAACAGATTGTGGTTGCGCGATCGCGCGTGTATTGTGTGTATCAAGAGGGGGTAGATTTTGATAGTGAAAGATAGATAGAGAGAAAAAGAAGAAAAAAATAGAGTGAAAGAATAGTGAGAGAGATGAAAAAATAAGAGATAAAAGACTGATTTAGACTCAAAAAGATGAGAAAAAAAACCGTCTAATAATAAAAGTCGAATATTTATCAATGTAATTAGCAAAAAATTTATTATGATAGGAAAAATTAAATAAATATTTAGGCAATATCGTGGCTTTGTTCAGTGACTGACAGTTTTGACTGGAAATAAAATAGTCGAGGACTGCGTGGACCATTTTTATTTATTTTTATTTATGAGTGAACCTGGCTGGCAGTTATCTCCCTCGATAAAGTTATCGAGTGATAGAATATAAAAAAAAATGTAAAAAAAATAATAATAACAATTTAAATACTGTCGAAATATTTTTAGGGAGAAAAACACGTAAATTTTGACCCACTATTTTATATTTGACCCTTCTTCTTCTTTTTATATATATGTACATAAAATTCAGATATTTTATATCTGTTTTGGAGTATCTACGAGGGACTAAGTTCAAGCACTAAACCGACTGCACTACCTGCTGTGAATATTTACACGGGGATAATAGTTATAATAATAACCATGATAAAAATGTCAATAAAAAAAAAGATAAAAATTATTCTTTTATTTGGTATAAGTTATAATAAAGTGAACTCGTAGGTTAAATTGTTTGCAAAGATGACAGTAAATTATATCAAGTGCGGAAAAAAACTTGGGAAATAATCGATATTGGTATTTGAATGACTTTATCGTGTAGCTAGGATATGTGAGGGCCTTTTAGGTTAAGGATAATCTTCTCTTATATATACATATATTGATATGGTATATGTATATATCGTAAAGGGTTTAAGGTAAAGTGATTGGGCTTATTGACATCGGATATACGATGACTATCGGTTATTGGAAACAAACTAATCACGCGAAATTACATCCCGGACTCGCCGCAGGATCATCTCCCTTCTATTCTGAAATAATCTTTCGGAGGAATATGATAATTTGGATCCAAAGGTTGATTCCTCGTTGGGAATTCAATGAACGTGGGTACGTGCCACTGACCTAGACAACGTAGCATACAAACGCGACTCGATCGGTCGTCTTCGCGATGTACTCGCCTATCGTATTTGATGATCAATGAGCTTGCAAGTGCATCAATTATGCTATCATTTATCATTAATATTAAAAAGTTATTTTATAAAATTTTTTTTTTAGATGAAATAATAATTAACTCTCAATTTCAGGAAAAAGGATGATGTATTTTTAATCTAAATAATTTATTTAATTTAAAAAAATACCTTGATGGCAATTAGGAAATTAATATAACCAAGTTTTTAATATTTTTAATTTCTTTTTCATGTTAAGAACATCAAAGTAATATTGAAGAAAAAATTTATTTAATCAAAAAACTGGATCAACGAATCTGACTGGAGTCATATTTTTCATTTCCTCAAGATCCTTTTCATAAATTGAGTGTTAATACTTACTCCTGTTGATAAAAGCTCCTAGCTTTTCTATTAGAAGATATTCTTTTTTAAGTCTCTTTGATCCGCATAATTGCACGCACGCGCAAGTTAAATTGAAATAAAAAATAAAATGATAATAACTGTAAAATAAAAAGGGAGAGTAAGTGATAATACGTGTGGGGTTTAAATATATATATATACCGGTCGACAATGGTCGAACGCGTACTCCTAAGTTACCTAGAAAATAAATGGAGCGGAGCGTCATTTACTCAGCCCCAGGATGTTTCTTTTCATCATCATTACTATTCTTTTGGTTTCTTAATATTATCTCTTTTTTCTTTTATTCTCTGGTTCTTGTTGTAAGTACCTTTTGTGAGAGGATCTGATAATGTTGACTTTGAGTGGTGATTATGAGTGACATGAGGATAGTTACCTGAGTCTGTAGCCGTGTTAGACCACGGATCCATAGAATTTGTCCTGCGCGCGGCTTTTTATCCGAGTCTGGGTCGAATTTCTCGTCTCCTAGATTGATAGCACCGATTTCATCTGGCTGGCCGCGACCCCATCTGTTTTTAAAAAACATTAAACCACTTCTTCATAACTCGATCCGTGTTTTTTATAAGACAATCTTTTTTTTTGTTCATTTTTGAATTATTGTTTTTTCTTTAGGTTGATGTTTAATCAAAATTCGCAGTCGGCTCCTCGTTGTACTGCACTCACTTAATTTCGTTCCCCCTTCATTTCCCTCAATTGTAAGCAATAGTTATTGCATAAAAAGAAGTTGTTAGAATAATACAGAATAGAAATTGAAGTAATGCAAGAAAAATACGAGAGAGAGAGAGAAAAAACCAGAGTTACAAAAGTGATAATAAAAAGAATAAATAGAAATATAACAGAAAGCGAGAAAGAGAGTTGTTAAATAGTAGTAATAGTAGAAAAGAGAAAAATAGTGAAATAATCAACCAACAAATAGAAACAAGTTATAGAAAAAGATAAAACACAATGGATAGACAATAGTAGCAGTGTGATCCTATTTCTGTAGAAGAATTGCAAAATGTTAATAAAAATGTTAGTGACATGAATTAATGGTGGGGGGAAAAGAAGGGGTACGAAATAATATTTTAATTTTGGATAAATAAATTATAAGCATTTATGATACATGAAATAATGATAATCATGAGGGTAAATGATCGTTTACGTCGCCGAGTGATATTCATGACTTAGTATATTAGTGTTTTAAAATGTGTCAATATGTTATTAGTAAATGATTGGTTCAATTATTATAATATTTAATTATATCTTGATTTAATAAACCGACATTAATAAGTACATGCGTTAGTAGTAATTATAAATATTTTTTGTTATTATTTAACTATTCCATATTCTTCAACTATTTTTTTATTTACATAGAAATGTTATTTTTTTTTTCGCTTCTTTTATGTTAGTCCTAATTATCTGGTCTACCATTAACGTAACGCACGATATTAATTCACACATCAGTTGCTATTAATCAAAAACAAATATATTCTTCCACCACAGGAAATTCGTTGGTTATTTTTCACGGACGAATTTTCCCCTTGAGATCAAAAATAGTAATCTTTAATCCATCGGTCATCCTTTCAAGTTACATTTTTTAAAGCATTCTCACTCTCATTTCAAATTGAAATATGGACGAGGAAAAAGATTAGGATGGTCACGAAAGGATCAAGAGGATTACGTTTTAAGACGACTTGTGTTATTAATAATACTTTTTGCATTATGTTTTAATGATTAGATATGAAATATTTATCAAGTTAATTCATCTGTAAATAGGAAAAAAAAATCAAAGAACCGTAATTGAATTTTTTTTGGGTTACATAAATAATAATAATAATAATAATAATAATAATAACGCCATACTTTTCATCTATGACGATAACAGTTGATTAATCTCTCGTCGAAGGAACATTAATATCTTGAGTTGGAGTAAAGTAAAGTAGAAAATAGAAAAATAATGATAATAAAATAATAATAAATGATAGAAGGAATGGGATATGGAAAGAAAAATAGAGGACGCGCAGGACGGAGAAGTAAGCTGACTTTCCCAAATCAATAAGTGAGATTCGGCGGATTGTGGATTTAACCAACACCGTGCGCGAGAGTAGTATTTCGAATTATTTAGTTTTCAATAGAAAGGTACACGTTACAATATTTTATGATTTAAACAACCGTCTACTACCATAAACATATTTTTCTATCCCTTTTATTAGTACATTTTTTCTTTTCTATTTACCAAGCTAAATGTATTTCTCAGGCTTGATGTCAGCCAACATGATGTTATTTTTGTTAGTAGAATACAAACAAGTACGTAGTTACCTAATATTAATATACTTTGGTTGTTTTTCTTCTTCTTTTCTCTCAAACGGTTGTAGACATGCAACATTCAGTATTCATCAAAAACGTTCAGGCATTAAGGAGTTAGGAATATGGACTGATAAAATTAGTTAACATTGGTACTACAGTTTTGCTATAATGTAAAGAGAGCTTTTCTAGGTGTAGGATTACTTGATATAAGATTATTTGGCTACTAATTAGTTAATCGGAGCGAAATAGCTGCACATAAATTAGGGTGAGAAAAGTATTGAAACAAACCACGAAGAAACAGCCCTGTATGTCACTAAACCTGTTTGGGTATTATTTGATTAGCGTGGTCAGGATAATTCTAGCATGCAAAGGCCTCTACCACGTATAACTAAAGGGGGATACGAAAGCTAGAGTGGCTAATTATCGTGGCTAGACATTTACGAACAATAAATAAAAAATATTATTGATCGATTTTTGAATAAATATTATATATCTACTAATGTCTGCCGTTGGCAATAGTTAAACTTAAATTACTGAAATACTTTTTTTGTAATTATGTACACAGCGACGTATACGATTATTCATTGGAAGTTGTATGAGCGTTTGTGCATTGAAATATTAGTGCTAATACTGTGCTAACTCTCGTACAAGTTCCCCTCGAATAATCAGGTGCTTTTCATAAGCATGAAATTTAATGCATACATCAATATTTGATTATGTTTATCGCGTGATATCGCTCATGATTAACGTGATTTCAAGTATTGCACGATAATTTCTTTTTTGGGAATAAACACTAATTGTATACAAATATGATGTATCACTTACGAAAGGATCTTAGGTATCTTCCTTGTAGGAACAGTTGTAACTACTTGGCCCCACACTAGTGTACCAACTCCGAAGAACAAACACCACATCCATTGATCTAGATCAAGAGCTTTTGTGCTGAATGCCATCTTACCGTACTGAATGATGACAATCTAGAATGAAAAATTCCTTATTTTTATTCTGAAATAAAATATGTATTGTTCTCGAGCTGAGACTGCTATTTATTATTATTTTATGATTGTACTGGTATGATTAAATAAGAGAAATGAGAAGAATATTTAATGAATGGTCATAATGATAATGATAATGATAAGAACGATGCTGACAATAATAATAATAATCATCATCATAATAATAATATTTACTTGAGACAGAAAAGTTCCAATCCAAATTGAATAGAAAATGGGGTTGGTGAATATTCCCTGGAAGACATTGCGCTGACCGTGAATTTTCCTCGCGTTGAATTCGTTGAAGAGGGTCATCATGACAAATGTGTTAAATATAACTGTAAAATGTTGGGTCGGTCCCTCACCTTTTTCTGCGGCTCCTTTGCCAGTAGGAATACCGAGCATTTCGTGACCTATTATAAAATCAATCATTGAATTAATAATTCAAATAAACATTTATCAACGAAAAAGGAAAGAAATATTATTACCGAAAAAAAGGAGCATAAATATTACAGTCAACTGGTAAATTGCTTGACCCAGGATGTTTTTCATCATAGTCCTGGAGATCAATGGTTTCGTACGACCATAAGGTTTACGAAGTAAAAGATCAGGTGTAGGCGATTCAGTAGCCAATGCAAGGGAAGCTAATGTGTCCATAATTAAATTAACCCACAACATTTGTACCGCCTTCAATGGCGAGTCTTGAACAGCACAAGCACCAATGAATGCCACAATAACTGCGACGATATTTACAGTTAACTGAAACTGTAAAAATTTGGCTATACTGTCGTAAACATTTCTACCCCACATAACAGCTTTGACGATTGAAGAAAAATTATCGTCAGTAAGAATAATATCGGAAGCTTCTTTTGCAACATCAGTACCAGCTATACCCATAGCAAATCCTACATCAGCCTTTTTCAATGCTGGTCCATCATTCGTACCATCACCAGTTACAGCTACTACCTCACGAGCTACTGAGGCTTTGCTGTCGATCATCCCTTTTACAAGAGTATACTTATCTGTAGGTGACGATCTAGCCAATACCCTTAACTTTGGCCAGACTTTATCAAGTAAATGTTGTTGAATTTCTCCATTACTATCCCTAATTCGCCTGTTGAATTCTTTACCTTCTAAAATAAGGAAATCTTCATTGGGTTTGCAAATACCACACTTGAAAGCAATTGATCGGGCTGTATTGATGTTATCTCCAGTAACCATTCTTACTGTAATTCCTGCTCTTTGACATTTTTTTATAGCATCTGGTACTTCAGGCCGTACAGGATCTTCAATACCAACGATACAAAGACATGTGAGATTATTCACAATATTTTCTTCGTCCTCCCAATTTGGTTCATTTTCAATATGAACCTGATTGATTTCTGCTTTACCAGGAACAAAGTCACGGTATGCAATTGAAATTGTACGCAATCCATCGCACGCCATGGGTTCAATTACATTCTTCACCAGACGATCTTGCATTTCTCTCGTGAATTTCTCCAGATGTCCATCGCGTCCATAAATAAAGGCACATCTGTAATATAATAAAAATAATTTTTAAAGAAACTTTATCATAAATATTGATAGATATGAAAATAATTAATTATTATTACTTCTTCATGATGATTTCGGAAGCACCCTTGGTGAAGAGCCTATAGCCACCGCCTGCTCTTGGAATAGCAGTAGACATACTTTTCCTGACACTGTTAAAAGTGTATACCCGCGTGAATGTTTCCTCTGGCTGATCTTCTCGAATTGTTTGATAATTTTGGCCCAAGTTCACTACAAATCCAAGTAAGGCACATTCGGTTTTGTTGCCAATCTGCATTGGCAGATCGGTAGGATCCTGCGAGGGTATAATTTTGGACGTGTATGCACAATTAATTGAGATTGCCTGAACAAGAAGATTTCCAACGTGACCCGGAATATCCGTAAACGGTGGAATCGTTTTACTCAATTTTTCGCAGATATACGACTGAACTACTGTCATCCGGTTGGTTGTCAGCGTTCCAGTCTTGTCAGAACAAATAGCCGTAGCGTTACCCATAGTTTCACAGGCATCCAAATGACGTACCAAGTTGTTGTCCTTCATCATTTTCTGCAAAATTCATTTAAATCGTTACTATGTCAATTTTGCGTTCAAATAATCGATTTATCAAAATTTTATTAATAATAATAACTGCAATAATAAAATAATAATATTAACCTTGACCGAATAAGCTAGAGACAACGTCACGGCTAGTGGAAGACCTTCCGGGACAGCTACTACAAGTACTGTCACACCAATGATCAAGTGTCGTACAAGATTCTCAGCATATTTACTTTTCCATTGTAATTGCTTGATAACAAACGTCTGCACACAAAATTGGATAATTAAAATGACGACAGTGAGCACCGCAATTGTAGATCCAGCGTATCCAATTTGAATTGCGAGTTTTGTCAATTTGGCTTGGAGCACACTTTTTTCTTTTTTTCCTTCGTGTTCTCTGGGAGCTGAGGACGCGGCTGCATGATTTTCCGCACCATCGTGCTTTACGCTTCCACCGCTTCCCGGATGACTATTACCCGTTACTTCTCCAGCTTCGTCTCCTTTTTTACAACAAAACTTTTTGTTATTTTTCAACGTCACATTGTGGCTTCACTTTACAAAGTTCCTAGGTTACTTTTCTTGATATTGCATTAATTATACACTTTAACTAGTATTTTTTTTTCATTTTTATTGTTATAAAAATAAAAAAGTACCTATAGGTATAAAAGTAAAATTAGATACTTTAAGTAACAGTAACCTTGGAGCTTTACAGTTTAAATATTTTTATAGTAGTCGATAAAACGTAAACGTGAATAACAGAAATAATCAATTCGATCGGTCAATAAAAATCGTTTTAGAGTAAGCTATCAAAAACGAACAGTGTTAGAGATAATATACTTAAACTTTAAATATAGTAACTATTTATTCGCATTGTCTATAGCAAACAGGAAGTCAATCATAAAATGCAGAGGGTGAAAAAAATATCTCGAACATATTAGGTGCAAAAAATCACCATAAATGGTACACACCCAGTCATAAAAAAATCTATTGAGGGCATTGACGAATAGATAAATAACTAATTAAAAAAAAATATACATAGTTTGGTTTGAAATAATTAAGGGTGTGAAGAATTCCAATGTGACTATGAATGTGATTTAAAAGTTTTAAACAATTTTTTTGTTTTATACTTTGTTTTTAAATTATTTCTTTATCATTGACCAATCAATTATAAAAAAAACATCAAATAAAAGAAAGATTTATAAGAGATAAAAAATTGTTTCGTTTGTTTATAAAAAAAAAAAAGTAATGTATAATTTTAATCACCTGGGAGAGACTTCTTCTTCCGCTGCTTTTTAGCTTCTAGACAACAAAAACACATGCGAAAACAAAAAAATTCATTAGCAACGTTTGGTCAGCTTTACATTAACTGATATCAGTATATGTATATATTTATTTTTAAATTTATTTTTTAATGCTTTCATTGGCTCTTAAAACCAACTATAAAAGCAGTTGTGGCGGTTGAAAATGTTATCAGCAAAGGACCGATAATGAACAGATGGTTGAGGCCTGACGAACAGTCTCGAAATTATCTGAGTATAGTATTTAAACTGTTGGGGAAATGAATCAACATTGAGTAAACATATAATAAAATATAAATAATGAAAAATTACTCGAGTAAATTCTTTCATAATGTAAGAAAATTATTATTTCAATAATAATTTAAATTTGACTTATTTATAAACATAAATCGATTTATCATTGGCTTTTTAATATTTATTGACGATGAATAATTGAAATGATTAATTATCAATTTAGTAATGAAGCATTTTTTATCAATTTTGTGTAAATTTTAATAAATGAAGTATTAATAAAATTAGATTGAACAAGCTAATAAATAGTCAAAAAGAAGTGTTTGAAAAAATTAATATTTTTTAAAAATTTAATTATTTTTGTTGCTAAATCAAAAAATTTATGTCGTAAATCGAACAAAAAAAAGTTAATGTTTTGTCAACTAGTTGCGGAAACAAGCAGCACATAATCGAGAATAATAATGCAAAATCATGCCAACATAGTTGTAATATCAATCATTAAAGTAATATTACAACTTATTAATAATTTAATTTTACACTGAAATAAAAAACCATGCGTTCATTAATCTCTGGTCCACACTGTTGGAGAAATTTCTTACTCATGCTAAAATATCGCATGCCCGCTACTTTATATTTTTTCAAAGGCAAATGTGTTTATTAATTGGAAGAATTAATTTTATTGTTGTAATTAACTAATAAAAATGATTATTAAAGATAATAATTACAAATATTATTATCAATTAAAAGCTAAGAGAGACTTTTGAATGATCAAATAAAAATCAATTAGAGAAAATTACGTAAAGACGCGAAAAGTAGCGGGCGCAAAGTAAGCAAACCTAATTAGAGCTGGTTATTTTCTCTAGGAAAGAAGCATACCTTTTTTCATTTTCTTAATTTCCTGCTCTTGTTGATCTACAGCAGCTCCAAGGAGAGTAAAGATAATACCAGCTTGAGAATTTACACCGACAGCAGTCACCAGCATTTTGCCAGAACCTTCCATCACATGTGTTCCCGATAGCACCATAGGATCAAATGCTTCTCCTTTCTTCACGTGATCCGATTCACCTGTCAAACTTGACTCATCAATCTTGAGATCGTTGCTTTGTATTAAAACACCGTCAGCAGGCAGTAAATCTCCATATTTTATCTGAACATCAACAATTTAATTCATCAGAAAAGAGTTGACGAGTTAGATTGGAGTAGTAAAATAAAATAGACTGGTTTTAGCAAAAAATACCTGACATATATCGCCTACAACGATATCAGCTACAGATATTTGTTTTACTTCACCCTGTCTGATGACCGAGAACTTGTGTTCTCCTTCTATCCTGTTTTGAAGGCCTCGAAATTGTCTTTCTTTCGAATAATCATTAAAAGCTGTGACCAATACAACCACAACAACAGAGATCAAAATGGCAAGGCCTTCAATCCAATTGTACTGAGCCTCATCTTTATCTATCGTTACGTCTTGCACTGTAAGACGATAAGTAATTAAATTAAATAGATACAATATAATAGTGACTGTTATAAAATTTTTTTTCAGATCTATTGGAATTTAATTGATCAAAATAATTAATGTATAATCTAGATAGAAAAAATAAAGGTACTGACCCTCTTCAGATTCGTCATCTGCAGGGTGATAGAAGCTAAGACCTAATGAAATCAATGCAGCTATTTCAAGAATGATCAAAGTAACATCTTGTAGTGCTTCCCACACTAACGTGAGAAAAGTTTTTGGTGGTTTTGGAGGTATTAGGTTGGAACCAAACGTGTCTCGCCTATGTTGTAAATCTGCCGATGATCCACTAAGACCTATAATCAATAAAAATGACCTCCATTAATGCAGTCTTCTTGATGTTGATGGAGTAAATGACATGAATGAATAATGATGCAAGTTACTTACCATCGCTTGGCGAAGTGTACAACTTTTTGCATAATTCCTGTACACCACCGAGAGCGTTAATTTTGTTGACACCCTCTCGCCCTCGGTGTTCCATAAGCTCTCGGAGTTGCTTAAGAGTGATGCCATATTGGGCTGGCCGCCCGTCTATCGTCGCCATCTCTTCTCGTCCTTTCCTGGTTGGCCTCTGCCAACTCTACCTTACTTCTCTAAAGCCAAGGATCCAGGCTATTTTCTTTCAACTCCCTTGAGCTCCGAGAAGTCGGAAGTCCACAAGCTGAAAAATGTAGAAATATCCATTAACTCAAATCCCATTTGTAATAATTTTTATTTAATAACATCTATCAATCATTTTAAGTATAGTCATTTATGATTTTGATAAATATCAAAATAAATATGATACACTTGAGGTCGATACCGGCACCTAAGTAGATGCCTGGCTTCATAGGTTATGTTCACTATCTGTGCTCCAAAAATATAATATATGCTTATCCATGACTCATAATATCTTACAATATGATAATAGCACAGCTATTTATTGTCTGGTAGCAAGTTAATGACTTCTGTGAAGTTGAAATCATGTAATAAAACAATCATTTGACAAATAATAATAACATACAACCGGCACACCAGTAGTACGACTAGTACTTGCAGAAAATGTAATATTTTATTAAATTATTTCTTTTACCTTATATTTATAAATTATAATCACAACAGCGATATGAAAAAATGAAAAATTATGAAGATGATGGGCTTTTACGAGGGTGTAAATTCTGGCGGCATTCAGTTCCGCATGGTTAACCGGTCACTTTAGTAAGAAGATTGTTCTTGAACATACACAGTGATAGTTTATTGCAAATACACCCAAGGTACGCGTTTGCCTAAGCACATCTTGTTGTTGATGGCAATACTAATCATGTGAACAGTGAACAGTTATCGTGAGTTATCGTCTCGAATCTCGTACATAACATATACACGTACAGATCGTTAGTTCGCGTGGTTCAACTCACTCCCAATATATATGCGTTCATACACAGACAACATAGTTGATATTGCTGCCCTCTACGTGGGCGCGCGTAAAATACAAAATATTTTTAGAGAGGTCAAGAGAGTTTTACTTGAAGAATTTTCCTACAATTGCATGAATTTCATATACTATATTCTCACTATTTTTATTCGCTTAATTAATTCCACCACTTTAACATTGAAATGGATACGTAATATATTTGTGCGTCATTCAAGGTAATTTTTATATTTTCTATGATTACTAATGCACATTATGACGCACTTGGTGTATATATTGTATGATATATTCCTTATAAAATTACACAATAATAGAGACTTTTAAATTCCTCAGAGAGTCTCTTTTTAGACTGTAGATTTGACGAATATATATTTCATTAACAGTCTGTTAAATGTTGAAAAATAGAGTAAACTAAGGAAATAAAACTTTCCAAGTCTATAACTTTTTTTTCTATTTCTTTTACGTCACTTTCATTCATAATTCTATTTGTGAATTTTGTTCAATATTTCATCAAAGTCTCTAAGTATATGAAACCTTCAAATCATGATGGGAATTTTTATTGAAGAAGTTTGTGGAAAAAAGCACAATAATCAGCGTGATAATAAAACAAAAAGGTTACTGTAAAAATAAGTAAAGTAATGATAATGGTAATGACACTTAATGATAGCATCAATAATAATTTAGTATTCTTAGTTACTTTGTGTTTAAAAATATAAAAAAAAAACTACTTTGCAATATTTAAACTCACTGAAGAATTCTAACTAAATAACAGCAATTATTTATAATTTTTATATCCACGCAATAAGTTGATGAAGATGTAATTAAATGTTCACTCCACTTTTACTATAATGCACTAGAGTTTGTATCACTAAATATAATAAAATGTATAAAATAAAAAAACATGGAAATAAAATGTTTATTACAAGAGTAAAAATATGAAAATTTATGTGACTGAGGGGCGATAAGATTTTAGGGGAAGAGGAATGAATAATAATGAAAAATGTGAAAGAATAAGTAGTTGTAAACTTTATAAAAGGACTAGAAAAACACATTAAAAAAGGTGATCGGCTTATATGAAAGCTGCACGATTGCCAGCTGAGTAACTGGCAAGTAATGAGCGAGTGATAAGTGACGCGAGTGGACTGCAAAGAATAGAGGAAACCTCTTTTCATGTCTATAAAACCTGAAATCATCAGAGGAAAGGCTCTGCAATATCTACACGTATTTTATCCATTTGACCGAGATCTCAAACTATCGTGCTTCGATAATCTCCCCTCCTTCCACTTTAGATGCCACGTCTTCAAGTAACGACATTTCTCCTTCATCTTATCGACTATCTTCTCTTCCCCAAGTCAATCAGCACTCCACAGTCATTAAGACAAAAGATAAATAAATAGGAATTTACGTTGATGTACGTTTTTGAAATCATAAAAATGACTTGTGGGTATAAATCATGACTTTAATGACTCTAGTGAAAATGAATTGAGTTAAATAATAAGAAAACAGGTCGACTGACTAGTCACGTGTAAAGTCGATCAACAGAATACTTGGTTCAGTATTCAACGAGCGCAATGACACTTCCGGAGGTTATTATGAACGTGAGAGGATAGATGGGAACAACGAGGCAACGCACGCAAAACAGCTAAGAACAATTTGATAGACGGACGTGGGTCGACGACGCAAGTGATTTGGTGATACATTAGAAGATGGTATGAGTTGATGTTTGAATTGTTGTAATAGTCGAGCAGAGATTGGATATTTAGAGCACATGACATATGGAACTCTCATCATGAAATTCAATTAAAGTGCGAGCGAATGCGTTAGGTCAATTGAGTTATATATACCATAATAAATTTCATGACATTATTGAATAGTATGAAGTGTGTGTTATTAAATCATATATCACTTTTTTATTTGATAATCAATGAGTATTTTTAACATACTCTGAACGATGAAAAATCGGATTTATTTACTGGCATGCAATAAGTGAATTTCATGATGGAAATTTCTTTTTAGAAATAAATTGAATTGTCTTGTGAAAAATAAACTTCATTATAGTATTGGAGGACTATCTGGAGAGAATGGAAATGATGAATTACAATATTTAACTTGTTTTTTGATTCAAATTGATGCTATAGTTTTTTTTTTTTTTTGTTTAACAATGTTTTAAAGGTTTTTAATTCGTTTCCAAGTGTTGGTTGAATAAGTTAGCTCAATTAAATAAAAGAAAGAGGTAACAACTATTGATTTTTTTCTGTTTTTGAAAAATTTTTTTTTTTCTCAACGATTTATTTTTCTTAGGTAAATTTTTTAATTGCTTTTCAATTCTCTGACACTTTGAAGATTATTACCAAGTACTAAAGTTGAATGTATGCTGTCAGAAAATAAAATACGACAAACAATCGTAAAATTCAAAGAAAAACTTTTTTCTCTGCGTCATTGAATTTTCTTCAATTTATTTTAGCAACTTTTGAAATTTATTGCTTTAGGAAAAAATACTTGGAAGTTTTTTTCTTTTCACTGCTAATTCTGAATGAAGTTGAGAGATTTCTTTTGATAGTTAAATTCTTGAATGACAATATCACTTGTGTAAATAGATATAATAACATTAAAAATGTATGCGTCTGTGCGCAGAATCATAAAAATAGTAAGTTACATGAAGGAGGAAAGATTTTATTCTCAAACAAATTAAATCACATACAGGCGAATAAAATGTTTTGTCTTTCTCATCACATTTTGTCTCACCGACTTGACTTGTTACATTACACCTTATCGTCTAGATAGCGAGGCGCAAAATTAATTACTGCATAAATATATAAAAGCGACAGAGCAAATTTATCAGTACTTTGACGTCAATCGCGAGTAAAAATACACCAGAGAGTGACAATCTCGTATCTCTCACACTGTTTTAGGGTCTAGTTGGATGCCTTTTTTTCACTCTTTCGACAACTTTCAGTGTCATTAACCTAACCTTTAGATAAGACAAAAAAGTAACGGAAAAGCATAAAAAAAGATGTATTTTTGGTGGTGATGAAGTAAAGATGCAAAGCGCGAGAGGATAAAAAAAGGGCGCGACGAATTTGGGAACCGAATCATGTTTCACTTGAGAGGCAGAGTTGATGCTAGTCTTTGAGTGAGTTGAAGAAAAAGAGGAAGAGAAGAAAAGCCGGTGAATTTATCCCGGACTGCAGTAGAATTAGTTTGTCTCACTCTACTAAGCGAGTCTCGAGGTCTGGTGGTGGTGCTAGTACTCCCGAAATAATGTTTGGACGTAGAGTGAGGAAATTGTCGGCCCAGGCAAAAGAGCCACCCGAAGTTATCCACGTCTGCTCGACTACATCATCGCGGAGGTTACATAATAGCGGCTCTCAAGGCGTGCGTGGCCAGCAACGAAAGAATGACAAGTGAAAGAGAGATAAGGAATGAGAGTCCGAGGAGAGCTTTAAGGTCGAGGGAAGAAAAAGCTCGGAATATACTCACCGACGCTTATCGCGAGGCGTGTCCCGGGCTATGGCGATAACCTCGGTGGTCACGAGCAATGAAGCAGAATATAATAATTCCAATGTGACATACGTCGGCAGATCTGCGGCCGTGTGCCGCTGCCACTCTACGTTTCGATGTGCACTAAAAATAAAATCGGCTCTTCTGTAGCGCGTTTCCACGTTTGCCCCTCGTCTTCTTATTCCCCTCGGACCCCGCGTGCAGCTGATCACGCCTTGCTGTGTATAGCTCGAATCAAGACACGCACTAACACGCACATTTACACGCTGGCTTTTCTTCCTCCCGATAAACTCACACACCGATGCTAACTCCTCTTCCGCCTCCACCTTCCTCGCGTTTTCTCTTCTTCCGTTGCCACTTCCAACACCTCGGCCGCTCCTTCTGCCACCGTCCCTTGGACGCCCTCACGTTTTATACCGTGATCGACACATTTATCCACGTTTTCTCGATACACCTCCACTATTATCATCAACAACTATTACTGCACCAATGACTTCTTCGACTATTGCTACCTAACAGCTCCGGCAACCACCACCGGAGACTCAACAAACCAGCCACCACCAACACACCAACTTATATCTCTCCAACTGATCGAGTGTCTAACTAAATAACCAGTTAATGGTGAAATCCAAGTGCTTCACTAAACTATTATGTTCTCTAATGTCACATCAAATCCCATTCTTACAATACACTTTAGTATCAGAGAATACCACTTAACATTGCTGCCTTCTTCTCCTACACACTAACCCTTTTTTCCCTCTTTTTCAACTCGCACTAACCCACTTTCAGTAGCTGAAGTTACTGAAACTCTACTCTAAAGTAAACCTTCGTCTTCTCTCCACCTCTCTCAACTTTTCCACATTTCGTACGTCATAGCCTCGACCTTCGTTCCTGCTCTCTTATAATATTATCTCGATCGGTCACAGATTTCTGTTGGATCTTCTTCATTTATTGAACCCTTTGGAAAAATGTCCAATTAGTGTGTTTGTATACCACGGCCTGGAGGTGTAATGAGAGTCCAATAAGAGCCAACGAGAATTGTCCAACACGATGGCTCTATTACAGGCGAGGTCGTTGATGTCTCAACATAGATAACGATGTATACAACACTACGGCCTCTAACGGACTGGCGTTCTAACGGCTGCCAGAAGGAAGGCCGGGGTTCGCGCGCGTGCGCTCCATCTGCGCCCTTGCACCACCCTTGTCCGACCGACCCCTTTTCTACTTCATATCTCTCTCTTTCTCTCTCGCTCCTTCTTCTACAATCGACGTTAAGCTTCAAGTAGAGAGAGCTTCATTCTCGTCCATCCTCCTCTTCGAGAGCTTCTTTCTTTACCTTTCCGGACCCGAGTCAAATCCGCCGGAAACCCACGAGCTCTTGGTTCAATTGCAAGACAAGAACACCTGAAGATATGCATGCAGAGCATCTGACAATACTGCATCTTTATCTTTTTTCACTTGCCATCCAACCTTCTACAAGTCTTAAGGTCATTTTTTTGCACTTGGAATGAAAAGAATTCACTAAGGACATTTTTCGACGCTTATTCCAAGTGAGAGCTGCAGGTAGGCTTTTTAATTACATTCATATGCTCAACAATGTCACTTTGGAGTAAATAATGTGACATTTATGACGTGGGGTAGGTAATTTACGTTGATGTTGGGAAACTATTTCAATATTATTGGTCATTATAATAAACTTTTTCATAAATTTCATTACTTATTTTTAAAAATTTTTTTAATTATTTATAATTTATAATGAATTTTATAAAAAAAATTGTTTATATCACTGAACTATATTATTATTTTAATATTAAAATATTCTTTTTATTATCGTCATAAATTTGATCCCTTTCGTGATAAAAATATTTAGTAATAAACTATTTTACTGAGTACTTTATTAAAATTATTCTGATCGTGATAAAAACACTAAAAAATTCTGTTGACTCAAAAAATAAAAACAATAGAAATAATTATATTTACATCAAAATGATTACTATGTAATTATATTTCTTTTATTTCAATAAAAAAAGCTTTTTTAAATTTTTTTATCTGATATTTTTTAATTATATTACATTAAAATAACATATCTGAATAATAATTAATAATGGGCTTTTTAAAACTTTTTATAAGTATGCCGTAAGTTATTTGTGCAATTTAAAGCATGGGAAAATTAAACTCTTATTCAAAGAATAATTTTACAAGTAAGCATACTAATTAAACTTTCATTTCAATTAATATCCCTAGGATTTGTTTTTTTTTTGGTATAATAAAATTTATTTTTTGCTTCATTTATGATTTATTTATTCATTTATTTATTTAATGGAAAATATTTTATTAGAAAATTCAACGAAAAATCATCCATTTAAAAATAAATCCATGAAATCAAATATTACGACGATATAATTGATCAAACAAAAATATTTAGCAGTTCGTTTTGCAATGAGAATGTTGAAGTAAGGGTGCTAATTGCGTTAATACTCAATAATAGCACTTTATGTTAAATATTGTAACATTATTAAAGTAGTGTAGACTGAAGAGTGTATGTAAAAGTTGTTGAATAATTTCAAAGCGTTATAAAAGTGACTCCAACTTCCCTCTTGGGGGTTGATGAATACAAAGTTGTTGTTTGTTTCATGTATTAATATATATGTAGAGGCATCATTGGAGAAAAATTTAAGACAAGGGATGCAGTTTGCAATGGCGTTCAAACTACGGGTGGTAATCATGCTTTTATCGCGTTTTCCTCTGCATGGGTGATGATTTTATAGGCATGACGAGACAGGATTGAACGATGAGTCAATCTTGAAGCTGTGGTGCTATATACAAGCAATGGGCTGGGTCACGGGTGAGACTCTCGTTAGCATCAGATTTCCTATGAATAGCCTGATCGGATTATTAAGTCATTTTTACATCACCCAATGTGTAAAGTGTATTTATATATATATATTATTTTTTACACACTAGCTTTTTCAATGTCAGACAAGTGTTTTTACTCCAACAGCCAATAAAGAATGTGCTTTTTTCGTGGAATTTTAATCCAAGCTTTTCAGTTAAATTTTGTATAATTTTTTTTTTATACATGTTTATCAATTTATTTCTTTTAATAACATTAGATATTTTTTATTTGGATAAATATTTATATCAAATCATTATTTAGGTAAAAGTATGGATGAAAAAGACAACTCACAGGGTGTCTATTACTTTCCTCTGATACCGTAAATAGAAGTTGATAAAAGAAAATGATAGTAAAAAAAGAATGTACACTGAGAAAATAAGTTATTTTTAGTTGATGAACTTTATTAATTATTAATCAATGGTCTATTTAAAGATGGCGAAAAAAATTATTATTTATAATGTATAGTGTTATTATATCATCAAAAGAATTTTATAAAATTAATATCCACAATTTTTAATTAAAATTTTATCCAGGATTTAAAGTGAAATCATGAATAATTTAATCGTAATGCATCTCTATAAATGAGTTTTTTTATTTTCAATCATAAAAGGAAAAAAATTGGTCAACAATAAAAAATAGTTGATTAAATCTTTTAATAATTTGTAGTAAACTAAATATTAGTACAATAGATGATAAATCAAATTTGAATAAATTAGTTGTAGCTTTTTTTTAATGATACAAAGCTCTTTACTAGCATAGTGATTATACTCGTTAGACAATAATTATTTAATAAATTCACTTTACTTCTTGTTTAGACCCTTTTTATTTGACGTCTTTATGTATAACTATATACACCAATAATGATATTCAGTTCAACTCAACCGCGAATGCAAGTTTAATTCAGTTAGGAAATTCATGAAATTTTAATTACGTAAAGTAAAGATAGACACGTTTCGAGATTTTCAAGAGTCCTTGAGGTAAAAAAAGTTAGCAGAGCGCAAATAAGTGTCTATAAGTGATGAAAGAAAACGAAAGATATCAAATATAATGAATAAAACATTCCCTAAATTACATTTATTTGATGACTGACCCTTAAATAATACAATTATGTGTTTTAATATAAATATGTAATACAGTTCGAACAAGACATCGTTAAACTTGAAACTTTCTGATAAATTAAACTGAAAATGTCACGTTAGTTGGTGCGAAGCGACTGAATCTGGTATAGAACTTGATATAACTAGAACAACAATTGCATAATGTACGAGATTGTAGAGTATTGTTGTGGATTCGCGTATTTTACCGTAGGTTCTCGTCATAAGTCACAATGTAATATATATATACTGAATAAGCGCAAATAAATTGATGCGAGAAATTCCTAAAGTCAGCAAGTATATAGAAGCCTATTGTAACAAACACATTTGAACTCTTTAATAAATTTAATTACTAAACGAGGCCATTTCCTTTTCTAAATAAATTCAAAGAATAATCTTACATTGGACATTTATTTTTATATAATCACGAACTGGAAAAAATTTTTTAATTACGTTTATGTACTAGAATTACACAACAAAACTTGTATAAATAACATTTATTTTATAGTCTATTTATTTTATTATTTATCAGTGAAAAGAAATAAATTGTATCAAGTTTAAAAATAGCTTGTTTATAGAATGTTTAAATAAACTTTCTTTTATGTATATAATTAAAATACTACTTTTTTTAAATTAAACTTATTTATTATTGTAATAAATATTAAATTTTATGAAACAACTAAAAAATTTATTGGTCAAACTAATATTATGCTATAAAAACTTTAAAACTTTTAAGCAAAAATATAAACTAACTTTTCAAGTAAATTTTTTTTAAACTCAAAAGAACATTTTATAATAATCGTATACGAATAATAATAAATTTCATCAGTTATTAATCGTATAATGCGTGGTTGTGTTAAAAATAAGTGATGATTGATTGTGTAAAATTATATATCATCAAAAGTTCGAAAATTAATGAATAAAAGTCGCGATAAAGAACACGGAGTGAATTTTTTTACTAAATGTAAGTACAAAAAGTGACAAGTCCACGTTTCGAAGTTTTGAAGTAAAAATATTTCTATTCGATAGTTAATTTTGAGTTCTTGTAAGTTAACTCTTAATATTAAGGAGGAGTCTTAGTAAAATAATTACTTAAGACAACCCAAAATTTACTGTTAAACAGAAATATTTTTACTTCTAAACTTCGAAACGTGGACTTATCATTTTTTGTACTTGGATTTAGTAAAAAAAATTCTCTCCGTATATCAGTAATTTATTCAAACTTTATCGAATCATTTATGTAATATTCTTACAAATATTACCACCCAATAAGATTGATGTAATAATAATACATATCTACAGTGATACTGATTAAAGATACGAGTCTAAGGCGATGTTCGATAATGAAACACGAGACACTTTGGTTATACAACATTATAGCTGTGCTGGTCTTTATTGGAGAATAAGCTGAGCTTAGTAGACCAGGTGCATAATTAATCGAAATAGCATCTCTATTTGAGATAATACATCATATGAATTAATGAATTAATAGATAATACAAATGGAATGTTTATTATAATATTCACTACCATATTCTATTTATAAAATGAATGAATCCAAGCACAAGAGGGGAGAGAAAATAAAAAGAAGAAAAAAAGTAAAAAATTCAACAGTACAATATGAAAATGTAATTAGTTGTAAAGGCAGTGATTAATAACCCGTAGTTTTAGGTAAGATATTATCAATCATCTTAGCAGCAACTATCGATAAATGTTTTTCAGGCTTCTCAATCCCTTAAGAAATAATAAATTAATTTAGTAATCGCATAAATTGATTGATGATGAAACTCTTCCTTCCATCGGCTTTTTCACCTTGTCCTTCAAGTAGTTCGAGTCGTCGTAAAACGAGCCGTAGGGAGTAAAATCAGAATATATTAGGCAGACACATTAGTCTAGTATAGAGAAATGTAAAAGACACGCAAGCGCAGTCGGTTTCGATCGACGATGAAATGTTCGGGTGCTGCTTCGAGTGTCGACCTCTTAAAGCCCATTCCAGATAAACCCTGTGGCAAAAGTCAGCGTGGATGACTCTCCTCGTGAATGACGAAGACGAAGAGACTAGAGGTCAATCGAATTACAACCTTCTCAGTACATTCTGGTCGTTTTCAACCGCGATCCTGTTAGCTCTGACAATCGCGTGTGAT